GTGTGTGTGTGTGTGTGTGTGTGTGTGTGTGTGTGTGTGTGTGTGTGTGTGTGTGTGTGTGTGTGTGTGAGCCACTTTACGAATGATAGCTTTCTGAACAAAAGGGAATTTAACAGTGGACTAATATGATTATCACTAAAAGATGATGCAATTCTAACACTCAGAAGGAAACAAGCACTGCTGTCTTCTGCTCGGGTAAGCTGAAAAATAACTCACATTGTTTTGTTCAGTTGTTTGATCTGTCTGTGATCTACGGTTAGCATTTGTAACTTATATTATGATCTGTGTTCTTTAGCTGGCTTACACCACATTTTAGTAATAAAAAAAATTAGCTTAACATTGACGTGTGTGCATGTGAGGATGACTGGGAGATATCTTACCAAGCTGAAACGTATTCTCTACTCGCTATAGTTCATTAGAAAACATACTTTTCGTGTCCAACGGTAAGCTACAATTGTATTCTGTGTTGCCATTTTCCAAAACTTATATTGTATAATGTTGCTGCTTTTTTATTATTATTATTACAACAAAATAGGCTACAATGCTACAGGTTGTAAACAGCATGAAGCTGTTGTGATGACGTGCAGAAATGGGCGTGACGGAAGCAGTAGGAGGTTATTAAAGGGACAGAGGCCAATTTTAACGCATTACTTTATTATGGTAAAGAGTTGAGCTATGTGCCTGAGAAACACATAATATTGGCCCTTTAACCAAAATAAAACGACAAACTGCTTTCAGAGCAATGAAAATAGATTACCCATCCCTTTTTTGTTGTTCAATATCTGTTTAAAAAAAAAAATCAAATGACCAAAAAGTGCATGGACCATCTCAGGGTCACACATGGCCTTATGACATTGTTTCAATTCGGCCCTACTAGGGTCAGCCCAGTGCTAGTTCATAGTCTTTCTTTGGGCAGTCCAGCCCACTTCCAGCTCGAGTTTTAGAACCCAGATATCTGGGGTTTCATGTGTGGTGACTCGTGCTGAAGTTTGCTTCCCTGGCCTTGAGCCACGTCACTGGATGATTCATTATTTTCAGCGACTGCTCCAACTGTCATTTCCTACAGCAATTGGAATTTGTCCAGTTTGTCTGAGAGAAGCAAGTATGTGCTGGGTTACCTAAACCTTGGCTTTGAGTGATATTAATAATAGCTCAAGTGTTTCTGAACAAAAAATAATGGAACTCTTGGTTTGGTTTAATAATACAAAGTACTAATACTGGAATGTGATAAAAAAAAGACAGAAAAGGATGGAGAGAAGAACTGAAGGCAACAAAAAGGTGGAAAAGTGTCAGAAGACAATAAAAGCAGTAAAAAGAAAACTGAAATTAAAGACAGAATGAGGAAAAAAACAGAGACAGACTAAGCCTTATTTCAACAAAGCTGTCTACATGTCAGATGTTGTGGATACTGTGTGACATTTACAGCGTTGCAAACACACAGCTCTGTGCTTTCAGTGTTTCATGAGTCTTACAGCACGAGGCCAGACTCTAGCTCGTCTCGCCTCTGGTAATCCAAAGAGCTGCCGAGCCACATCCAGCACAAAAGTAAAGAGGAGGAGAGGAGGAGGGAGAGAGGCAAGAGCGACAACGAGAGTGAGAGGCAGCGCTGCACAGATAAGAAGTGAGACTATTGATCTCTCTGCGGAGGCTGAGAGCTTCCACCAAACCACAGAAACTGACAGAGGGGAAGACACACACACGCACACACACGAGTCACTACGAGTCACGTTAAATAAATGCCACCCACATGTCCGTTAGCCAGGTCGAGCAGGTCCCGCAGTCTGCAGCCTCGCCTGTGTCTCCGCTCATAACAGATGCTGTTCTCCAGCACCACGTAGTCGGCCCCCACCGCCCTCAGGATGTTGTACACTTCCTCTGGGGACTGGCGAGCGTACACCTGATACACCTGCTCACTCAGACACACACGCACAGAGTAAACAGAGGGGTTTCTTTTAGATTTACACACCTTTTTTTGCCACAGTTTCATGAAAGTTGATTTAGATTTTTATTAGAACTTGTTGCTGATCATAAAAAAATAACACAACAAAACACTCTGAACTAAAACAATTATCAGTTAATTAATGTGGTGATGGAAGTACTCGTGCTTTAAACGGGTTTCAGTTGAAATGAGCAGCAGAACATCAGAGTGACGATCCATATGGATTGCTTGGCATCATTTGTGACTGAAATACCTTTACTTGAAATGTATGATGTTTAATCAGAACCTGTGGTCTGATTCGTGTTAGTCTGCCTGTACTTCAAAGCAGGGGTTGAGGCTTTGTGAGGTAACTTCTGTTTCAGCTTTTCATTCACATGAAGCTGGTTGTCATGATGATTGGCCTAAACTTTGTTACGAAACAGGACAATGGTCCAAAACAACAGTAAAATTACAATATTTGTTTTTCTGGAATAAGTCAAAATCACTTTGACCTTATAATATACTGTAGGATGGCCATCTGCAGTGAGTAGATTTATATGAGAAATGAAGATGTTTTTAGGTTACCTATCAAATAAGAGTTAAGGGTAGTTAAGATTAATTTTTTTCTCTTCAACTTTTGTGCTTTTTTCAAATATCTTTTTCTTATATTGCTTAATACTTTTCTGTTTATCATTTTAAAGATGAAAATTGTTTAAAAAAATCACAAAATCTCCTGTTCTTCAGTGTTATCTCATACACCACTACATAAGTATTGACTATAAGAACATATTCAAACTGTCTCTGACATCCCTAGTTATATAGAAGTTGGCCTTCAATTTGTAGATAGTACTGGGGCTCACTTCAAATAATGCTGTAACCTGGCTTTGCAGAACACACGCTTGAAGCTGTCCTACTCTGCACAGGGTTCTATCCAGGCCAGTCAAAAACAGCATGCTGATTCTTGGAGCAGACACCTACTGACCACTGTAGAAGGGTCCATGCTCACAGGTGCTGCCAATTAGGTGCCTGATTGGGGTACCAGAAGCTTAAAACAAGTGTCAATATTAACAGTAAAATAAGCTGTTTGGGTTCAGCAGAGAAGATTTGACTTTTTTTTGTTTATGTGCACAACCCACATACTCTGCTCTACTTCTCATCCCACAAATGCATGTTCCTTACAAATGTGGCACCATTTGAAAGGGATATTACCCCATTTCCAACAACATAAGATTTATTGCAAGAAGCATTGTTAAAAAAAAATAAAAAAATAAAAAACAATCTACCAAACACAAATTTCCTTACCTTTTGTGCTAAGTTTAGATACTCCACTTACTGAATTAGTGGTAAGGATGACACAATTGATTCAGGGACAAAAACAACTGATCTGCACTTTAACGTTTAGCAGGAAGGTTCTGCATAAGCGTGGTGTACAATATGTGCAACACATTTTTACGGCATCTCTTTGTATACATTTCAGGAATTTTTATTATTCAGTATTCAATGCATCAAGAAATATAAAAATTGTGTTTAACAGCCTTTAGCTACCAAATTGAAATGCCCATCATTTATTTTTGTCAATACTTTGGGTATTTCTTAGCCTGGTAAAAACCAACCCCTTGTTCTACAGTTTGCTAGGACAGAGGGTCTGGACCCTCGGCTACTGAGAAGCAATTTCTTACTGGAGGGGTGGACTCTGTTGAAGTTTAAAACAATTGGATCCGATTTACCCAATCGCTAACATTTGGCCGTGATGTATGCAATGCGCCAGCTCGACCGTGAAGGAAGCTAGGTGCAAAGAACCATCCACTACTGGGAATGAAGCAGTACTGAGCCGAACGAAGTGGCTGTAAATGAGTGCTGCAGGCTTTGTGAGACAACTTTAACTTCATTTGGATGCATTGTCAACACAGATTGGCTTCATTCACTTCCTCCACTGCCATCGCTAAACTACAAGCAGACTAAAACGACACAGAAAATCGACGTTGTCATTCAAAACTCCTCCTTCTGTTCACTAATTGACCCGGCTGAAATTCTACCGGAGAAATCCCAGTGAAGGGAAACTAGAATTGAGTGGAAATGTGTAGGAAGGCAAAGGCCAGGCTAAACACAGATACCAATTTATTTTTAGTTCAGTTTTTGATACCCATTTTTCCTATGCCCCAAGGACCATAGAGCTAAATTATCAAAGCTGTGTCTGATTTGTTGAATGGCAATTGATTAAAATGAGCCAACTGCTGGGAATATATATATATAT